TTCGCACGGGTCCAACTAACTCGCTATCAAAGGGTCACTATTTCCTAATCTTCCCCTTAACTTTTCAAATATTTTCTTTGATAAGAACCTTCTCCTGACAATAACAAACAGAACAAAAAAAGAATTTGCAAAATTGGTCCAGGCGTTGTTGAGTTATGCGCTTACCAACACATTTTGCGATCCATTTTTATATATAAGATAAGATAAGATAGAGTACTGATATGTAAATAATTATAGGACACTTTCCAAATACTTAGTCAAAGTCTTTTTCATAATGTGAAAACCTGAAATTGTTTATTAATGTTGCATAAATAATTTTAGTAAATCAACGTAGTGACGTTATAATTTATTTACGTCATGAAGCATATTAATTTCTGTTCAATAATTATCGAAAATGGTTGGTTGGTTAAAGGTGGGATTATTTTTTTAAGTATTTTTATAGTTTTATCAGTTTAAATAATATATTTTTGAGTGAGGACTGAGTATACTACAGGATTACCCTTAGGTTTAGAATACTCTTGGTAGTTACAATCGGGATCTGCTCAATAAACTATCGAAAAGTCTTTGACATAATCACCATCATTATCGTTATTATAACGGTTTGGATATTTGCATAGGTTGTATATAATACATTTCCTTGTGCCATAAGACTTCTAATTTTATGCTTTGTTTTATAATCAATTAATCGTGTTCCCTGATGCTACCTATGTTGTTTAACAATAAATAGTTAAAAATATAGTAATATATATTGCCATTTTTTTTCAAATAGGTTTTATTTTTAAAGAATTGGTTCTTAGTTTTGAAACACGGCATTCTATTTTGTACATGTGTACCTAGAAATTGTATCTATGTGTTTGAATATATATGAGAATCGACTACCTGAAATACTTCCATCATGCGAGATTGACAGAGTGTAGGTAGAACCTAGATTGTCTGTACTCGTAGTAACACGAGCAGTGATTGGCACAATCTGTCATAACATCGATCAGTAAACTGGGCCTAACTGAAAAACAAAACGTTTTCCACTGACAGTGACTGAGTTTGGGTAACTACATTTTTCAGGAAATCCAAATTGGAAATGAACTAACTTCTGCTAACACAACAAACTATGTCTGTAACCAATTTCACAGGTTGGTTCAGCAGTTTAGGCGTGAAGAAAAGACAGACAGACAGACAGACCGACAGTGTTACTTTCGTATTTAAAATATTTGTATATAGGTAGATATGTATAACAAGCCAAGCTGTTAACTGGGTGACTAATTAATCCAATTCGCTAGCACGTATGCAATAGTTTGTACTTAAGTAATTCTTATTGTAATACAATTATTTTTGTTGTATTGCGAAATATAATAAAACAACATGGCTTTTCACCGACAAAACAATCCCGACCTATGCAACAAAAGAACAATTTATTCAAGTGATTGTTTTTAAAATGGCCGCATACGGAGTAACCGTGATCCATGAGCATACAAGATGACGTTAAACAGTGTAGGTCAGTAACATTAACTGGATTTAACCAGTTTAAACTGGCGCACGATTCGGCCTTTTAGAACCGTGTTTTGCAAGTTGCAAGTTAATGAGTTTTGTTAACGTCACACGTTATCGTGAGGTGAGTCTTGAATAGTTTTATTTTAGAGGCGTGTGCAAGACTTTTATGTGTTGAGAAAGGTAGATAAATTACAAATTGAATTCTTTTTTAGTGGAAAGTCGTAGGTCAGTGTCAGATTATTACGAATATTTTTTCTTTTAAGGAATCAAGCTTATATGGTGTCGTTTTGATTGAAAAGACTAGTGACGTCATGATTAAGAACATTTCATACACTGAGCTAGTATTCTTTTATTTGGTCCAGTGGTTTTTTCATTACCTAACTGAAAAATTTGACAGATCTTAAAGTGTCAATTAGTCGAGACTTGGTAGCAGCTCTCACTAAGCGTATTACATAAACCGGATAAGGGACTCGACTTAAAACATTTAATGGGATAGATATATATCTATATATATAGATACAGTCCATAACAACACCAAAGAAATTACAAATACGTAGCCGGCTTTTTGTAGGTAATCAGGGATTTGAGGATTTAGAATGATGGTAACCTCACTTTAGTAACCTTACTAACAAGGCGAAACACAACGCAAGAATTGTTTCTGGTTGGTGAATTTTGTGAAACCGATCCATTAATACCGTAGGAAGGCTCTCCAGCACTTAGACAGAGACCGGGAGAGGTCTGCTACCTCTTTGCAAAACCTAAGCCATTTAAACTACGATCTCCAATATATGTACTTGCAATTCGTAGAGTTTACTACATACCCTCTTATGTTGAGGAGGAAAAGACCAAGTTCCAGCTGTAGACTATGGGATATGTCTCGAAGTTTTAATGATATTATTAAATCACAAATCAACGGCCTATAATGCTGCCTACTGCTGAGAAAAGGTCTCTTCTCATACGTAAAAGTGTTTGTAACAACACTTGCTTATAAGCATGCTTTCTAAGGTACCTTCCTACTCAATTACTACAGTATTTCGGAAACTGACATATTGGTACTTGACTGGTTTCGACAAGCGAACGCTTTAACGTCATCCCTGTTGAAAAGGAAGCTTAAAGTTCAGATATTATGTCGAAAACATTTTTTATCCGCTACCACATAATATGTACGTGTCTATACAATTTATTGTCACAATAGCTTATCTTTATAAAGTGAGAGATCTCTATAGAATTAAGAAATAGGGGAGCTTCTTACCCTTGGCAATACCGATACTTTAACACAAAGATCTATTCGAATAACACTTATGTTCTTTTAAGATATGAATGTCTATTATTTGTAATACAAAATTGACCTACATCAACCCCAAATTTTTCATACATTTATTACGTATCTATCTAGGAACTAACCTATGATACCTTCATCCATTATTCTTCGTGTACCTATTTTTGAACTATAAAGACTCCAAGGTTCATCTTGTACGTTTTAAAAGCTTATGAATAGATATAAAACGCTTTGATTTTGTAATAGAATAAAAGGGCAGTAGATAATGTTGGTATCTAGCCACGAACTCAAGTAAATTGTATTCAATTTATAAGTAGGGTCAGTTACTCATTTAAATTTTTGTCCTTTAACCTTGCCTTTATTTCTAACCTTTTATTATTCTATCAAAGAAACCGTAAGTATAAAACAAATGAATGACTATAGGTAATAAAAAATGTTTTATTAAAACTCCTTAAGGTAATTTCACGTCCATTCTTTTTTTAATCTATAGTGCGAATTCAAATCTTTATAAAAGTTACATTCTAAATTTAAATACGCAAACCCTTTTATGAGATATAACATACAAATATGTTTATGTTTTTTGTTTATTATGAAAATAATATAGTTTTCTTTTCAATTTGCTTACGCGGATCATATTGTATCCTATACCCAAATAGCCAAATAGCCATCGGGGGGTTCGTTGCCTTGACAACGAAGTGCACCGCGCTCCATAGACCTACACTTCAATATAGAGTAGAGGTCATTCACCCCGCGCTGCACCCAAATAAACACTAAATTCCATATTTTTTTTTACTATTTTACTTTATCCCGTTTTGCTCATTCATTTATACTTGACTATGAATATCAATGGATATTATAATAAGGTTTCTAAGTAACTTTTAAACATACCTTTAAATAATTTCGGTATTCGGTCATCTTAATTTGTGATTATATCCAATCTTAGTTCACTAACACCATACTAAAGTAATTGAGTGTTCACAAGTTCGTCACACACTTTTAACATTGAACCAACTTCATTGTAACCCTTTTTCAAAGTCTATTTAAGCTTTTCTTCTCACATAAACATTATTTATCTACTATAATATTGTTTTGAATGCTTAACTAGGAATATTTACAATAACAATGAAAACGACATCTAGTAATCAAGTTTAGAACTGTCAGCAACAGCATTTTGACTTTGAAGTAGGTAGTTCAACATTGTGTACTAGATGTCAGTACAGTCCACAGAACAAATGCTAATTTAAAAAAAGTAGCTCGAAAATATTTTATATTTTTTATTAAAAAAATGTGTTTTGAAATGTGTATGCGAGATTCTTCAACTATAGTTTATTATAATTATCATATTCGAAAGTAGTACCCAAAGTTATCGTTTTACGTGTCTCAATAGTACTAACACTTGTCCACAGATGGCGCTTAAAACATTTCTTTAATATTTATATAGATGGCGTTGTCATCTTATTGCCTGTTTAAGGATTATAAGTAAACAAAAATAATGAATAATTTTTTTAACTTCCCCCGGTCATTTATAACGTAATTTTAATTAATTTAATTCATAACTGTAAATAATACTGGTAGCAGTAACATTTTCTAGTCTAGCGTAAACTTCGACAGTCTTATTCTTTATGGTTAGTTCACTTTAGAGTCTTAGGGCGATTAAAAATTATGTAAGTACCTTCAAAGGTCTTAGAGATACTAGTACTAATTTGTAACTTGTAGCTAGCCTAGAAACCTAGAAGCTACGTAGACAAAGTAATTAGATTGCCGATGACATAAGAAGGAGGAAAACCGGTATAGGAACTGTTATAAGTACCTACCTACCCAACTACCTATTACCTAAGTGAATATGGCTCACGTTAGGTAGGTCAGAATACTGTGGAAGATTTCGAATTCCGCCAGCTAGGTGCGCTATTTTTACAGCGAACTAACATACAACGGGCGTGAATTAATATCGTAATGCATTTCGTCGTGTAACTGTGTTACTTTCATATATTGTTCAGGTTACTTTAGGGCCAAACCCATGATGAGACGTGGGACCTCTCATCTTGAGGATAAGTTGATCCGCCTGCCTAAAACGTACCTAAGATTTATATCATCAAATGATTTATCTCGCCCAGGGTGACAACGGGAGGGAGTACCTATCAGACTCTTAAAATGACTAAAGCCAAACCTGTTATTGTCTATTATTGTGCAGGGTAAGGCGAGAGAGAGTGTCAGACTCTTACTGACTAAAAACCCCCTGGTCCTTCTCCTGCTCTGGACCGAGGTCGCGGTGCCTCATTGCGCTTATCTTGCAGCCCCGGCTGAACAGCCCTATTGGGCCCCGACTGTAGTTGTCTATTGGCACTTTGAGGCGCGCGCGGAACGCTACGCGCTGTACGCTCGGGACTTCTAAGGACCTGCAACATTTACTTACTTCTCTTCCATCTGAGTTTTAACGTAGCCAACACCTTCAATCGCCAGCCCGCCTGACTGGTGTGGAAATTACAGCAAACAGTTCTTTTGTGGAGATGGCCTTAAGTCTAGACGTAGCTCAAGGGCTTATAATACCTATTAATGTTCATTCGAATTCCTCCATAATCGTAATTACAAATGTTCTGTCCCATTAGGAGAACAAGAATGAAACACCAATCGGGTCATTAACTAGGACTTTTAAACTATACTGATTTACTTAAGTTTTACATTAATTTCGTTATTTTTATAGTTGCTTGTTTATTGTGTCCCCTATCGTTATAATGTGTATAAAATAACCTCCAATTGTTTAGTTTCATGGTTTTATTTCTAATACTTACCTACTTAAGTATATCTACTCGCCATACTCAGATTCACATTATTCTACAACATTTGCTAGGTTTTTCACACAGTCCTTAGCAAATTGTACCTGATATAAACAATGTAAGTAAGTATCTAATCATTAAATGCCCCTAATCATGAAAAATGAATCAATCGGTTAATCCACTCTAGAGTTTATGTGACAAAAAAATACATTTCAAATGTATTTATTATTATAATCGTAGACACTGTGACGTAACATTCGAGTACCATATCCGTTTATTGAAATGTGTAAAATACTATGACGTCATAAATCATCGTTGACCAAAAATTGCCCTTTTTTGACCGCTACTGAAAAAGCTAACTATTGACTATTTACGTCTACAATGACGAATCATGATCATTTTCTTTCGTGAACACGCTACTATGTGATCATTTCGAGTTTTTTTGTTTACTATAATAAAACCGCAGAACATATTATTTTTCGAGTATTTATCATTGGTACCATAAACATTATAATGATTGACGCAATAAGACTTAGATACATAGGTAAACCAATGGGTATTTGCTTTAAGTATTAAAGTTATAACTCATTTTAGCCTAATCCGTTATATTTATATTATTTTAGCTAGGTATTACCTATTGTATATAGGTGTGTCTGCACAGTTATCTAGTACGTAGGTAAGATTATAAAATTGAGTGGGAGAGCCATGCCTCGGCACTAATGTGTCTGCTTGACCACGGCGCCACAGAAAACAGGCGTGAGACCTTCCCCTCCCCCAAACCCTAGACCTTCAAAACCCTTATCTCCAAAAGGCCGGCAACGCTCTCGTAACTTCTCCGTTATTATAGGCGTCAATGAGCGGCCCCAATTGCTTAAATTGTACATCAAAAAAAAATTATTATTAAAAAAACAAAATACCCGACTGCACACTAAAAAAAGAGTAAAACAAGCCCCACAATACAAATTTACTGAATATAATTTATAAATGTTGATGGAAAGCATCGCAGGCGGGGACCAACAGAGGCTTATTTATAGTCATTTCTGTTGTGCACCATTTAGCAGAATTTTCGTTGGTGGCGGTCAAGGTGGTCCCCGCCTGCGATGCTTTCCATCAACATTTATAAATTATATTCAGTAAATTTGTATTGTGGGGCTTGTTTTACTCTTTTTTTAGTGTGCAGTCGGGTATTTTGTTTTTTTAATAATAATTTTTTTATTTATAACTTTTTAGCTGTTTTTATTTAACGAAAATGTTGTAGATGTATTATGTCTTTATCCCGTGGGACTTTAAGGATAAAATGTATCCTATGACACTCCCGTAATCAAGACAAATCTAACGATACCTCATACATCAAAATCCATCAAGCCGTTTAGGCTACAGGAGGTCACAAAGGAAAAGACATACATACATACTTACATACACTCGAAAAACATTACCCTCCTTCTTTGGCAGTCGGGTAAAAATGATCATACTGGTTACCATTTCATAAAAAAATTGCTTTGTACAAAGTCAGTGGTTATCGCTACCTTTTACTATATTATATATACTTTTATTGAAGCCATGTATTTTGTAACTGGTATTTTTGGCCAAGCTAGTATACTGACCAGGCCAATAATTCAGATTTCACTGAAATTCCAAATATCCGAGGTAATGGGGTCAAGTAATAAGGTACCGCCGAGTACCGCGGCCTCGGCCTAGAGCAGGAGAAGAAAAAGGGTTTTTGGTCAGTAAGAGCCTCTCCCTCTCGCCCTATCTTAAGCGAGAGAATGCATTTGATATTACGGTAGTTTCCAACTAGTCAAATTCAATACTTTTATCCAAATGTCAAAAACGATAGGTACTTTTCTATGAAATTTGTATGAAAAACTGAGTTATGACGACATAGTTATCAAAAACTTAGTGTACCGACCGATCGATGAATAAAAGTATAGTTATTTTTCAATGTTTTATTGTATTGAAACGTCGAATTAATTTATTTTTGACCTAGGAAACTACCCAATTTTCCTTTATCAAAAAACCAACTACTCTATATAATTGTATTTTTCTTACCTATACTATACGTAGGTATATTTATAAAACCTATATATACGAACCTTTTACCCCTAACCTTAACATCTGAACTCCAAATGTCACCCATCCAAATATTTGATTTGTTCATCTGTATCGTTATACCTACATAGAATACATAATGTACCTTCATCCGTAGTTCCTGTAACACTCCCACTCACTCGAAATGATGAATGTGGCAGCCGGATCTAGAAACGCACTTAGATATTATATATAGATATAGCGTAAGTACTTCATCGTTGTGGCCCAGAGATTAAGGCACCCGCTTCTCATGCATGAAGGTTCGAAACCTGACAGAGTAACCAATAAGACAGTTTACACGTTATATGCTTTCTATGATAATTTAAACACCACTGAAATATGGTGGAGGAAAACATCGTGAATAAACTTATATAATTTTTCAGTCAGTAATTATGATGTTTTAAGAGGCGACGGTAATAAAATTAAGTAGCTAAATATAAAACTGACTTTTAATTACTTTTTATAAATCTAAAGAATTTTCTTTTTAGTTATTTACTTATTAAGTATTAAAATTTTATTCGGTTCGTACGTTAAAATATCGCATTCGTATTTTTATAAGAAAATTTTAAGTCAACAGTCTTCATCTATGTATGTCTCAACTGCCGAATTTATATGTATAATAAAATTTGTGGAAAGGTAAATCGCGATTTGCTGTTACGCTACCGAAATTTATTGATGGATTGCTGTGATGGGATTGTTTAGTGACCAAACTTAGTGCCTAATTTGTCTCGATTGTTTTATTGTTATTTTTACTTTTATTTTATTGTTCCGCTTCATTGTAGTAATTATTTTCCCTCTTTCTAAATGTTTTTTTAGTCTGTAATTGTAATTGTAATATACTAACTGTTGAACTTTATTACTTTATACTACAGAACATGTTGTGACACTTAAAAATGTTGTAGGCACATTTGATTTTATTATTACTTAAATTTTTATGTAACGACTACTATATAGTTGTCTTTGGAAATAGATAAATAAATAAATAAATCTTCAATTCTCACAGATACCTACTATGAACTCATTTACGTAAGTAATAGTAATAGAATTTTTTTTTCCGCGCTTTAGCCTGTTTTGATAAACCTAAATCTTAATTCATTTACTTGCTGATTTTTTTTAACTTTAGCTTAAACAACATATCTAATGTGTGTTAAAATACTTAAGTTTTTATTGTTTAAGTCTTTACGGATAGCGGACATAAGTAACATAGTGTAGAGTGCACGCTCCACTACGCGGCGAGTGCGAAACGCTATCTCATTTCCTCTCCGGAGCGAAGGCCTAAAGATACAGATCTACCGACAAATAATTAGTTCATTGACGTTAATTGAGTTCTAATATTTTGTAATTAAGTTTATTTTCTAACAATACACTTGTAGCTCGCTGCTTTACTCGATACAGGGTCACTACCTTTTGTTTTTGAAAGGACTTAAGTTTTATGCGTAGTTTTTTGATTGTTTCTTTGATTCAGCAAGGTCCGTTTTAGATGTGGAAGTAGTTTTTGAGCCGTTCCTAGAATATTCTGTATTATATAAATTACCTATTTTGAAATTTTCAACTTTACTATTATGTTTTACCTCTTCGTTTGTCTACCTGCATTCTAAAGACCCTTCGGTGTAAAGAGGATTTTCTTCAAAGTAAATAAAAAAAAAAGCTATTTTAGTTTTGGAATGTAACTGGTGCTTCAAATAACCAACACAGTGCATATTAGGTTCAACTTCAAGAAACGTTCGTACTTATTCCTTTTTAAAAGGCTGGCAACGTGCCCGTGTCTCCTCTGGAGTTGCAGATGTCTATGGGTGGCGCTGATCACTTACCATAAGGTGATCTGTCTGATCGTTTACCTCATCCAAGCCAATATTATAAATGCGAAAGTCACCCTGTTAGTCTGTCTGTCTGTCTGTCAGTCTGTCTTTTTTCACGCCAATACAACTAAACCGATTTGTGTGAAATTTGGTACAGACATAGTTTGGAACTCGAGAAACGACGTAGGTCACTATTCCACGCGAACAAAGTCGCGGGCAAAAGCTAGTATTTTATAAAAAAATGGCACTCAGCAAATTAGGAATAAATTACTTTAAAAAAATGACACATCTATAAATGGCGAAGGCGTTCTAAACTTCCTCTAATTGCTTATTAGCGAATACATACCATGTACTTGTTTTAATCGCCTGTACAATGTATAGACCTACTTACCTATTTTTAAATCGAACAGAATGATATTAAGACACACTAACCTGTGATTGCATCAGTTTACAATTTCCTTGGTTCAACTTGCACAAGGACAGCAAAACCGCTAGATAATTCGATGAATTTTATGCTTAAGAAAATATAAACTTAGTATTTGTTCGTACATGTTATGGCTGATATTTTACTAATTATTGCCTCAAATCCATTCAAAATTAGAATGTGAGCTTTCCATGCTGTATATATAAATAAAGTAAGGTAGAGCTGGTCGAGGAATCGATAGATCCTCTTGCCAAAATCGGGTCACTAGGACCGATACTAGAGAGCCAAATTGAGATCACATGTTCACACATACATGTCAA